TTGATTGTGCTCACACATGTCATGCTCATTGGACATCTCACATACATGACAAATTTGCATCTTATACATGGATTGACTCATATTATGATTGCCTTGTTGCATCTTGTATTCCCATGTCATCCATGATATATGAGCTTGTGCATTTCCTTAGCAAATTTGTTGTGATCTACCTTGTTGGCATATTCATACATCATGATCATATTGCCCATCATCAATTGCATGATCATATACTCATCTTGAGCATCCATTGCCATATTCATACTATTGATAAACCGTCTCTCTATGACATCATTTTGCACCGTGGCTGCATTGATCATATTAATAACACATTTGTGTGCGCCATGAATGCTTGTGCCCCCATGAATGCTTTGCATACCATTCCATCTCTTTTGGATAAGCTTCATGCACCTTGTCATGATCAATCTTGTTGCACAGGCTCATTCTTACATGATGGACACTTTGTGTGCGCTAACCATTGTATTTCCAAGTGTACTTCGTGTTTGCTCATTTTGCATGTACCACATACCGGAGACACCTTGGAGTACTTGGATTGCGCCATGCCTTCAACTCCGTCCACGACAACCGTTTCCATGGTGATGAGGATCACGATCCGAGTTCGGATCTTTCCCAAGGGGGGGAGATGATGCGGAGCATCCCGCGTTCATCCCCATGTACACTTTGACTACTCTCCAAGACCCAAGAGAACATAAGACAAGACCTCAACTAGGCACCATTGGACACAAGGTGAGCTCGCTCCTCTTAGAACCATCACTTTCCATACGTGAGACATGGCTACTACCTCAAACATGTGTGCTATGCATGACTAGGAACCAAGAGGAAGCCCATGGACAAGAAGGCAAGGATACCAAGCACGAGGAACAAGAAGAAGGGCCACGGAAGAAGCTCCAACCATCGGACGACCGGTCAGGACCGGAAGTCCGACGCCTGAAGACCCACCGGACAACCGGCCCAGACCGGACGACCGGCGATCCCACACCCGAGCCAAAATGAGCGGACGTCTGACAAGTCCCGGACGTCCGACACACTCCAGCGTCCGGACGTCCGACCGCCCCGAAAATCCGGCGCCACCTCATCCGAGCCAAAACGCCGGATGCCCGACAAGTACCGGACGACCGGACCCTCGCGAGCCACCGGACGTCCGGTACCTGTCGGACGACCGGCCCCTGGCTGTGTCCAGTGTTGCGGGCCGAAGCCCATGTACCCCTCACTTACCCCTTCATGTCCCTAGACTATATATACTCCTCCACCACCTCCTAGTTAGGGTTAGCATTGGTTTAGCTCATTTTAGAGATAGAGCATTGCTCATCCACATCGGATCTACTCCACGAGAGAGACCACGGCCTCTACGAAGAAGATCCCTTTGGATTCAAGACCTCCTTGCGGAGAAGACCATCAAGACCTCCTCACGGAGAAGACCGGTTACCGTGTATCGTCCGTTGTTGACTTTGGATCTTGTATCTCCCTTTATGTTCATGGATCTAGCACTTGTGTGATCATTCTTGTTGGTTTGAGTGTCTCTCTTGTGTTTCCCCCGTGTTTTTCCCCTCGTTTCCCTCCTCGTGTTCTTCTTGTTCATCGCGGGATCCGCTCCTTTCGTGAAAGATCGGCCCATAGGGTTCCTACCCTACATCAAGGTTACTAGCCAATTCTTTGAGGATAAGTATTTGGGAATGCCTACACCGGAGGGGAGGATGTCGAAAGGGCGTTTTCAGAACTTGCAGACTAGACTGACAAAATGATTGGTGCAGTGGGGGGATGGACATCTAGCCCATCCGGGGCGTGAGGTGTTGATCAAGTCTGTCGCTCAGGCGCTGCCTACCTACATAATGGGTGTTTACAAAGTACCCTTCTCGGTATGTGATGATCTTACTCGTATGGTAAGAAACTTTTATTGGGGCTCGGCGGAAGGCAAGAGGAAAGTGCATTGGCGTGGATGGGACCATTTGTTGCAGCCCAAGTCAAAGGGAGGAGTGGGGTTTCATGACTTTCGGATGTTTAATCAAGCACTGTTAGCACGCCAAGCGTGGAGACTTTTAACTAAACCAGATAGCATGTGCGCGCAAGTTTTAAAAGCAAGGTATTACCCATTGGGCAGGCTGGATGACACAGTTTTTCCGGGAATGCGTCGTCGTCTTGGCAAGTGATAAGTTATGGATTGGAGCTGTTGAAGAAGGGTCTAGTTTGGAGAGTTGGCAATGGCAGAAGTATTCGAGTTTGGTGAGATAACTGGATCCCTAGGCCTTTCTCTTATAAACCAATCTCCCCGCAGGGAAGATGTCGTGTTCGTTTCGTGTCTGACTTGTTAAATCAGAACGGATCATGGAACTATGTGCTACTGAATGAATATTTTGTTGATGCGGATGTACAAGAAATAGCGAAGATCAGAGCATCCCCGAGGATGGAGGACGATGTGATAGCATGGGGGGTAGGTAAGCATGGTATATTCACTGTTAAGTCGGCCTATAATCTTGCCTTTGAGGAGGCGCACCGGGCCACTGATGCATCGTCTAGTTCATCACCGTCAGGACAGAGGAAGTGTTGGGACTTTATTTGGAAAAGTTGGGCACCGCCTTTGGTGCGTAACTTTGCATGGAGGCTAGCCACTAACTCACTCCCTACTTGGCAGCGGAAACATAAAATTGGCCTTGAAGTAGGAAGCGAGTGTCCGGTTTGTGGGATGGAGGAAGAAGACAACTTTCACCCTTCTGTTAACTGTCAGTTTGGAAGGGACCTGTACCTCGCCATGTCTAAGATATGGATGATCCCGGAGATAGAGTCTCTACGACATGATGGGCGGGAGTGGCTTCTTCATGTTCTAGCACCATTGAACGATGTGGGGCGAATGATGGTCATGATGATTTTTTGGAGGAGTTGGTTTGTCCGGAATGAAGTGGTGCATAACAAGCCCGCACCACATATGGAGGCTTCAGTACGGTTCTTGCGAAGCTATGTTGATTCCCTGATCGGAATTAAGTTATACCAGCATGCAGATCCAGCAAAGGGCAAATCTCCCATAGTGTATGAGAAATCGGTGCCAGCTGAAACCGTCAATAGTGTGCCAGAGGAGAGAAGATGGAGGCCACCGGAGCTGGGGTGGAACAAACTGAACACTGACGGGTCGTTCGATTCTTCTTGTAATGCTGGAGCTGGAAAGATCTTACGTGACCACCGTGGGATCATTAACTTCTCAGCGTGCAGGACCTTGTATTCCTGTAGAGATGCCTTGGAGGCAAAGCTCTGCGCATGCATGGAAGGGCTCTCATTGGCAATTCAACGAAGCAACCTTCCTAGTGGTGGAAATGGATCCTCTTGAGGCCGTGACCATGATCTCATGTGACGTCGTTGATCGCTCTATCTATGCTTTCATTGTTAAGGAGATTAAGTACTTGTTATACCTTAGACAAACTTGTATTTTTCATATTGTTAGGTCTCACAATAAGGTTAGCGATATATTAGCAGTGTTTGCCAGCAGATCCAAGGTAGGACCATGACCTGGCTAGGGGCTGGTCCGGGTGAGTTGATGGAGATTGCTTCTCTTGATTGTAAGGACATCTTGATTGAGTAATGAAAGCATTTATCCCGCAAAAAAACATAAGATGAGAGTTGAGAGCGATTAGTGAGAGTGTCTGCTCCGTGTGCATATGCACTTAGGGTGAACAGTAAAATATGGAGAGAGAAAAGTAAAAAGTAACAGTAAAACACAAAAAATGTTAAATGTTAAAGATTTTTAAGCTAACTTTGTTTGATGTTTCACCGTGCAAAATTTCAGTTTCATGATGCAACGACTTCGATGAAAAAAATAGATAAAATCAAAATAACATCTTTAGAGCATGACTTTTCCCTTGCCCAATGAAACATTGAACATTGTCCCAACAAATTTTCTGTTTTCTTACACTTCACTGCTCATCTGAGAGCAGGATCGCCGGTTTACGCCGAGCATTCATGTGTGGGGTACTGCATTTCGGAAGGACAGAAATGGCCAGGGTGTAGCAATACGGAAGGGCAGAAATGAACTCCATAGATTGCAGAAGAATACGATCAGACTGCACCACTGTCAGTGCAGAATTGCTTTGATGGCAACGGGCAACTTCTGTCATAAAAAACGTCATGTGCTCAAGTCTCTGGACCAAGGAGAGACAGTCAGAGGCTAGGATTGATCTACAGTAGTTACGGTGATTGCTGACATTAAATCCCTGACAGCAGGTTTTCAAGCTTGCTCTTTTATTCACGACATCAAATCCCTGGCAGCAGGTTTTCAAGCTTGCTCTTTTATTAATGTAAAACGTTTGTTGAATGTACCAGCACACGTAAAATGTTTGTTGAATGTACCAGCACACAAACTAAACTTGCTTGTAGCTGTAATCCCTAAACTTATCAGGGATATCTGAATAAAGTGCTGTTACTCAAAAAAGAAAAAATCATTATGTGCTCTGACATTATCAGGGTCCAAAATATATCTTCCGAGTGAAATTAAAATTAGTTCCTGTGGGGTACTGCCAACTCTCGGTTGAGTGCGCCCTGGCGCAGCTTCAAGGTCATGGACCTCGTGTCGTCGTGTCGTGTGTGCGACGTGATTGTGAGTTGGTCATGGATGGGCTTTGCCCTGCGTGTTAGTCTAGTCTGGGGTGGGCTTGACCCTTGTTGTTCCGGTTTTTTCCCGGTTTTCCGTAACTAATTAAACAATTCTTTTCTGCTTAATTAATAAATGAGACAATCTTTACCTCCGTTTCGAAAAAAAATGAGGCAGTAATATCAGAAGTCCTTGCAGGTGAAGACGAAGCAGCGCAAGTGGACGGAACAACCGCACAAGGAACAAGCAGAAGAGATCTACAGTACTATTTTTAACTCCCTCTTCCAGAGGAGATATGCAGCTTATTATTCATCGGTGGTAAGTAGCACCGCTCGCGGGCACGTCCGTACATATAGAGGCGTCGATCCACACACACTGGTGACGCATAGGAGGGCAAATGACGACACGTCTACGGCGTTCGTGCCTGGTCGAGGCGATGCTGCGCCCAGTTCTTCACCTCGTGCGCCTTGGAGTCCAGCTTCGCGCCCGCGTGGTCCACCGTGTCGGCCCCCGGCGGCGAGGACGCCCCGTGCGACAGGTACTTGTACATCCACGCCAGCACCCCCACCGCCGCCGCGCCGAACGCCCCCGACGAGACGAACCCGGCCGTCAGCACCGTGGCGGCGATGGCCGCGGGCACCAGCACGGGGCTGAAGAGCACCAGCAGCGGCGTCGCCACGATCAGCGCCAGCACCGTGCCCGTCAGCGTCAGGGCCGACAGGAGCAGCATCGACCCCGCCGCCGCCGCCGCGGCCACCCCCTTCGCGAGGGTGACGGCCGCCGGCTGGCTGTGGCCCTGGCCGTGCCCGCCGTAGTAGTCGTCGTCGCCGCGGATGGCCCGCATGTAGTCCGGCCCGATGGCGCTGCCGCCTCCGTGCACGCCTCCCCGGTGGAACGCCTGCTCTCCAGCCATGCCGGTACCCAGATGCGCACTTGAAGCTTCGCTACTCCGGAACCTGAGCCTCACCTGAGAAATGCGATAGCCAAATGCGCGGTGGGTTTCTCGCCGAGATGGATCGTGGTATATAAGATGCGATGTGGGTGAGAGTGTGGACGAAGGCGGTGGAGCGAGTCTCGGACATGTGGCCGCATACATGGGGCACGTGGCGAGGGGCGTGATCTGCATGGATAGCGATGCCTCAAGCCGTGCCACGTACGTGCCAACTTGCAGGCTCCCGGCGTCCTCCCATCCTACGTGTTGCGAATGCAGTACCCTTCCCGCGCCGCTGAGCTCGACGAGCAGCCTGCAGGACAGGGTTTCAAAATGACGTCCTCCATCGACGGTGTGCCCGTCGCCTTGCCGGCCCACGCGTCTGAAGTTGAGCTGGATGCCGCTTTATAAATTTTCACTTAGAGACGTTTGGCTTCTCGATAATTCTCGAACTCAAATTCTGTTTTAACAGGTTTTCGAATTCGAGTGCCACGGTATATTGTTTTTTTTTTCTTTGACTGTGAGCCTTGTAAGTTGATACACAAAGCATAACACGTACCCACAAATCGTCCCTCGTCGCTTCCCAGTAGTCCTCCAAATGTTATCCCTCAAACGTACGTGAGACAAGAGGAGGGGGCTTGAGGGCTTTGTGGAAGTTCCAACATTTATTTAGCCAACCAAAAGTCTATTGGGGAATACAGTATTTAAAAAAAATTCTTACGATCATGCAAGATCTATCTAGAAGATGCATAGTAACAAGCGGAAAGAGTGTGTCTACGTATCTTCGTAAACCGAAAGCAGAAGCGTTAAGTAACACGGTTGATGTAGTCGAACGTCTTTGCGATTCAACCGATCAAGTACCGAATGCACGGCACCTCCGCGATCTGTACACGTTCAGCTCGATGACGTCGAACTCTAGATCTAGCTGAGGCCGAGGGAGAGTTTCGTCAGCACGACGGCGTGTTGACGATGATGATGAAATTACCGACGCAGGGCTTCGCGTAAGCACTACGACAATATGATTAAAGTGAAAATCTATGAAGGGGGCACCGCACACGGTTAAGATTAACTTGTGTGTATGTGAGGTGCCCCCTCCCCCGTATATAAAGGAAGGGAGGAGGAGGAGGACCAGCCACAAGAGGCGCGCCCAAGGGGGGGATTCCAACTCCTAGTAGGAGTAGGTTTCCCCCTTTCCTAGTCCAAGTAGGAGAAGAAGGAAGGAGAAGAGAGGGAGAAGGAAAGAGGGGGGCGCCGCCCCTCCCTAGCCAAATTCGGACCAGCCCATGGGGGGGCGCGCGGCCTTTCCTTGTGGCCCTTCTCTCCTTTCCACTAAGGGTTCTATTTGATTAGGCACCTGAATTGACATCTGAATTGGACTGACCATGAAGGCTCAATACTTCCCCGATGAATTCCTGTAACTCTCTCGTACTCGAAAAAAATACCCGAACCACTCAGAACCTTTCCGATGTCCGAATATAGCCTTTCAATATATCGATCTTTACGTCTCGACCATTTCAAGACTTCTTGTCATGTCCGTAATCTCATCCGGAACTCGGAACAAACTTCGGTCATCAAATCACATAACTCATAATACAAATCGTCGTCGAACGTTAAGCGTGTGGACCCTACGGGTTCGAGAACTATGTAGACATGACCGAGACATATCTCCGGTCAATAATGAATAGCGGAACCTGGATGCTCATATTGGTTACGAAGATCTTTATCAGTCAAAACGCATTACAACTTACATTGTTTTCTTTGCCATCGGTATGTTAGTTGCCCGAGATTCGATCGTCGGTATCATCATACCTAGTTCAATCTCGTTACGGGCAAGTCTCTTTACTCGTTCCGCAATGTATCATTCCGTAACTAACTCATTAGTCACATTGCTTGCAAGGCTTATAGTGCTGTGCATTACCGAGAGGGTCCAGAGATACCTCTTCGACAATCGGAGTGACAAATCCTAATCTCGATCTATGCCAACTCAACAAACACCATCGGAAACACCTGTAGAGCATCTTCATAATCACCCAGTTATGTTGTGATATTTGATAGGACACTAAGTGTTCCTGCGATGTTCGGGAGTTGCATAATCTCATAGTCATAGGAACATGTATAAGTCATGAAGAAAGCAATAATAATAAAATAAATGATCGTAGTGCTAAGCTAACGGATGAGTCTTGTCCATCAGTAATCTCGTTCATCAAATGACAACACATGTCTATGGTTAGGAAACTTAACCATCTTTGATTAACGAGCTAGTCGAGTAGAGGCATACTAGGGACACTCTGTTTGTTCATGTATTCACACACGTACTAAGTTTTCGGTTAATACAATTCTATCATGCATAATAAACATTTATCATGATATAAGAAAATATAAATAACAACTTTATCATTGCCTCTAGGGCATATTTCCTTCAGTCTCCCACTTGCACTAGAGTCAGTAATCTAGTTCACATCGTCATGTGATTTCACACCAGTAGTTCACATCTTTATGTGATTAGTTCACATCTTCATGTGACTAATACCCAAAGGGTTTACTAGAGCCAATAATCTAGTTCACATATTTATGTGATTAACATCCAAAGAGTGATCATGTTTTGCTTATGAGAGAAGTTTAGTCTATGGGTCTGCAACATTCAGATCCATATGTATTTTGCAAATTTCTATGTCTACAATACTCTGCATAGAGCTACTCTTGCTAATTGCTCCCACTTTTAATATGTATCTAGATCGGTGTCAAAAGCTTGCATCGACGTAACTCTTTACGACAAACTCTTTTATCACCTCCATAACCGAGAAATATTTTCTTAACTCTATGGATAATTTTGACCGTTGTCCAGTGATCTACTCCTAGATCACTATTGTGCTCCCTTGCCAAAATCATGCTATGGTATACAATAGGTCTAGTACACAACATAGCATACTTTATAGAACCTATGACTGAGGCATAGGGAATGATTTTTCATTCTCTTTCTATTTTTTGCTGTGGTCTGGTTTTGAGTCTTTACTCAACTTCACACCTTGCAACACAAGAAAGAACTCTTTCTTTGACTGATTCATTTTGAACTACTTCAAAAACTTGTCAAGGTATGTACTCATTGAAAAAATTTATCAAGCGTCTTGATCTATCTCTATAGATCTTGATGCTCAATATGTAAGCTGCTTCACCGAGGTATTTCATTGAAAAATTCTTATTCAAGTATCCTTTTATGCTATCCAGAAATTCAGTATCATTTCTAATCAACAATATGTCATCCACATATAATATCAGAAATGCTACAGAGTCCCACTCACTTTCTTGTAAATACAGACTTTTCCAAAAGTCTGTATAAAACCATATACTATGATCACACTATCAAAGCGTATATTCCAACTCCGAGAGGCTTGCACCAGTCCATAAATGGGTTGCTGGAGCTTGCACACTTTGTTAGCATCTTTTGGATCGACAAAACCTTCTGGTTGCATCATATACAACTCTTCTTTAAGATATCCATTAAGGAATGCAGTTTTGACATCCATTTGCCAAATTTCATAAAATGTAGCAATTGCTAACATGATTCGGACAGACTTTAAGCATCGATACGAGTGAGAAAATCTCATCGTAGTCAACATTTTGAATTTGTCAAAAACCTTTTCGACAAGTCGAGCTTTGTAGATAGTAACACTACTATCAGCGTCCGTCTTCCTTTTGAAGATCCATTTATTCTCAATGGCTTGTCAATCATCGGGAAAGTCCACCAAAGTCCAGACTATGTTTTTATACATGGATTCTATCTCAGATTTCATGGCCTCAAGCCATTAGTCGGAATCTGGGCTCATCATCGCTTCCTCATAGTTTGTAGGTTCATCATGGTCTAGCAACATGACTTCCAGAATAGGATTAGCATACCACTCTGATGCGGATCGTACTCTGGTTGACCTACGAGGTTCGGTAGTAACTTGATCTGAAGTTTCATGATCATCATCGTAAACTTCCTCACTAATTGGTGCAGGCATCAGTGGAACTGATTTCAGTGATGAGCTACTTTCCAATTAGAGAGAGGGTACAATTACCTCATCAAGTTTCTACTTTCCTCCCACTTACTTCTTTCGAGATAAACTCCTTCTCTAGAAAGGATCCACTCTTAGCAACAAAAATCTTGCCTTCGGATCTGTGATAGAAAGTGTACCCAACATTTCCTTTTGGGTATCCTATGAAGACGCACTTCTCCGATTTGGGTTTGAGCTAATCAAGCTGAAACTTTTTCACATAAGCATCGCAACCCCAAACTTTAAGAAACGACAGCTTAGGTTTCTGGCTAAACCACAGTTCATACGGTGTCGTCTCAACAGATTTTTAGACGGTGCCTTATTTAACGTGAATGCAACTGTCTCTAATGCATAACCCCAAAAACGACAGTGGTAAATCAGTAAGAGACATCATAGATCGCACCATATCTAATAAAGTACGGTTATGATGTTCGGACACACATTACGCTGTGGTGTTCCAGGCGGCATGAGTTGCGAAACTATTTCACATTGTTTCAAATTAAGACAAAACTCATAACTCAAATATTCACCTCCACGATCAGATCGTAGAAACTTTATTTTCTTGTTATGATGATTTTCCACTTCACTCTGAAATTCTTTGAACTTTTCAAATGTTTCAGACTTATGTTTCATTAAGTAGATATACTCATATCTGCTCAAATCATCTGTGAAGGTCAAAAAATAACGATACCCGCCGCGAGCCTCAACACTCATCGAACCGCATACACCGTTATGTATTATTTCCAGTAAGTCAGTGGCTCACTCCATTTTTCCAGAGAATGGAGTCTTAGTCATCTTGCCCATGAGGCATGGTTCGCAAGCATCAAGTGATTCATAATCAAGTGATTCCAAAAGTCAACCAACATGGAGTTTTTTCATGCACTTTACACCAATATGACCGAAACGGCAGTGCCACAAATAAGTTGCACTATCATTATTAACCTTGCATCTTTTGGCTTCAATATTATGAATATGTGTATCACTACAATCGAGATTCAATAAACCATTCACCTTGGGTGTATGACCACAGAAGGTTTTATTCATGTAAATAGAATAACAATTACTGTTTGACTTAAATGAATAACCATATTGCAATAAACATGATCCAATCATATTATGCTCAACGCAAACACCAAATAATATTTATTTTAGGTTTAACAC